CATCTTTTATTTTTCTCAGTTCCCTATTTTCCTTTTCCTTTATCTGACCCTGCAAGTCTCCCAGTTCCCCTGGGGAAATCCCTGCCATGTTTGGGCCACCAATTGGGCAGATGTTTTCTCTCTGCTCCCCTTGATGTCACCCACTGTAGTGGGTGCTCTGGGGGACACTGCCTGGGTCTTGGAGACAGTGTCCAGGGTACTGGGAATGGTGAGAAGCAGACGGGGCATAGCTCCTTTATAAGATGTTTTACTACCACCAGGAGAGGGAGAGTGGGAGCTGTTGTTTCTCCTGGTGAGGAATAGACTTTGCTCTCCAGAGGTTTCTCTTTGGAGCCTTTGTGTGAAAGGCAGCACTTTCCAGACTCAAAAACAAGAAGCATTTTGCATTTCTGCAGTTATCTCTTGTGAAATTTTCTCTTTGTTTCTTTCATGAGGCCGTTTTTACACAAACAGCAGAGCCCCATGTACAGCACCTTACCCTGCCTCTGTTTTTGGGCATAATTAGGGCATATAAAATCCACTATGTACAAATGCCACAGGCATCACCTTTCAGCCCATGCTGTTGGTGAATAAAGCAGGTCAATGCACTCAGAAGCTGAGAAATGTCCCTCTGGTCCAGGATGTCCATCCAGCCCCAGACTGCTCCAGCAAGTGCAACAGGACAGACTGTCTTGGGGCCCCAGCTTCTTTTACAGCCCATTCCTCCAGCACTCCCACTTTCTCATCCTTTTGTTAGAGGGTACATCTCTCAAGGATGCATTTGCATCCTTGAATTTGCCTAATCTCCTTTTGAACCTACAGATAACAGCATCCACATCATCCTGTGACAGCAAGTTCACCAACTGTGCCTGTAGTTGTTTTTTGTCTTTTTTTTTCCTGTCTACTTTACACTGACATTGTGTACCCCCAGATTCTGGTGGGTGTTTGGCTGCCACTCTGAGTAAAGGCTTTGGAAACCCATTAATGAAGGCTCTGCACCTCAGTGAGTCTGCAGGGTGTGATGCCTGCAGGCTGTGCCTGGGAATGCACAGCCCCCCACACCTGCACCACTGGGTTGTGCTGCTCCTTTGGGTTCCCAGGATCAGGGTCTGGTCCCAGTCACTTTTACAACCACTTTTTCTGTTTGACCTCATCCCTCCTCTTACCTCAATGAAAGTGACTTCACTTACTTTACTCCTGTTACCTCTTTACTCTGTGTTGCCCTTCTTTCTCCTTCCAGTTGCTCTCCAGCTGAACCACTGCAGACTGGCAGACACGGGGAACTCCCCAACAGCTCCAGCTGTGAAAGCAGCCACAAAGTTATCACCGACCTTCTCTGCTACATCATCATCCCCATCTGCTGCTTCTATACCCTTGTCATCAGCATTCCCACTGATTTCCTAGCTGTCTTTGTGGCTTTGGTATATTTAAAGAGCCTTTTATCAGCAGCTAGAGCATCCTTGGCAAGGCAATTTACAGATCTTATTTTTAACCCTGTTTCTTTCCTGTTTCATTGTGACCTGACATGTTTTATGGGTTTCTTTGTTCTTAGACCACTTTGGGCTTTTAGTGTTGGGTTTGGGGATATTTTTTTTTTTTTTTGACAAGTTGCTATAAAAATCAGTGTTTTCAGCTCACACCCCAAAATCTGGAAGAGGTCAATTTAATGCTGCTGGGAACCCTTAGTAAGCAAAGCTGCTCCATCTTCCCCCATCAACACAAGACATATGGCATTGAAACTGAGAGCATTACTGGGCTAAAACTAAAAGGCTGAAGGATGGGAAATTTGGATAAAATAGCAATTGATGGCTTTGCAGTTGCCAAACTTGACAAATGACAGTCCTCCTCTCAGAGGAGTGTCAGAGGAGGCAGCACTAGTCTTGTGGGTTGTTGAACCAAAAATTACCAGCAGGACCCTATGTCTCTGGGTTGTACCAAGGTCCAGTCAGCTTCCTGAGCCTGGGATGAAGGTGGTGCCCCCTAAACCAGCTAGGAACAGTCATGTTCACCTGCCTGAATCCCTTCAACCCTCACCTGAGTTCCCCCACTCTCCACACCAGGAGTTTCTATTGGGAAGCCATTCCTACCGAGGAGGTGAAAACCTCTTGCCAGAGGAGAGGCTTATTTTCCCTTACCCCTCCTGTTGGAAGGAGTTCTATCATTCACCTTGAAAACAGCCAGCCATCAAACTCAAGGTACACAAGAAGTGAAAAGTCAAGTCCCTTGGTCTGCAGTGGCATCTTACCTTCATTGTTCACTTTTACGTGTTTATACCCCCAGCTTGGCACATTGCATGAAGGATCTGTAAAAAAAATCTCCTAGAGGAAACAAGGGGGGGCTTCCTCCAACAGGCAACCAGGAAAAATTAAAAGTGCCTCCTGCTTCCAGGCCTGAAAGGTGCTGCTTTCACATGCAAGTGTGGATGTTGGGCTTTGCTGGGGAATGTGTGGATGCAGAGATTTAGCTCTCAGTTTTGAGGCTGGTTTCAGGTGTAAGCAGTGCTAACAGCAGCAGGCCTGATCACCCTACCCATCCTTACCCTGCTATCCCATTACATTCCTGAGCTGCAGCTCCTCTAAGACAGCTGCCCAGACCCAGGTTCTTACCCCACTGCCATCCACAGCACCTACCATGCCCCTCCCCTCCCACCCAGCATTGCTTGAATATGCTTGGGTAAATCTAAATAAATGTAGAATGACATATGACTGAAGCTATCCCAACATTCCCAAGCAAGTATGTGTTGGAACCAGGCAAACCTCTGTCCCAGCTCCTTTAGCACACCGTGTGCAGACATGCCAAGCACTTACACTCTCCAGAGTGACTTTTGGTCTAGGATAAAAGTTGGTGGCAGACTTGAGTGGGAGCCTCTTCCCACCTCCTCTATGGGTCATGTGCCAGCAGGACACTCTGCTTCTCAAGGACACACTGCACCTCAAGGGAGAAAATCAATTTGAAAATCCAAGGTGCAAAATGAATTCTGGCAGATTCCTGGAGTCTCTCAGCCTGCCTGCAGGCATGTCCACACTCACACTGACAGTGAGGACTCAACTCAGCTCCTTTCCTATTCCTGCTTGGATTTTGGAGGATGTGCAGCTGAAACAAAGCATGAATCAAGAGGCAGCAGTCATAAAACTCAACAAAGCTCTTTTCCATGATGACATTTCCCAGAATAGTCACACATTGCTAATAGACTAATAGAAGTGAAATATCTGGGAGTTTGCCCTTTCCGTACAAAATTCCAGTCCAGATAAAAGAACTGTAATAGCCTTTGAAATGCTAAAAAGGAGCAGGCTTACAGTGGTATCTGATTGCCCCACCCCAGCACGGTGGCAGTTGCAGAAATTAGCTTTGAATTGGAGCAATGAAAATTCCTCTGCAGTTAAATGATGCAAACACCTGACTGCTTTTGCTGTTTTTATTACCAGTGATAGTACATGTTGGGATATCACACCCTCAATAAAGTTTTACTGCATTAAAGTTTATCGTTCAGCGTTCAGCTGCATTTCCAACCTCTGCTGCTTTGCAAAAGAATAGCCGATAACACTTAAAAGCCTTTCCACACGCCTCTATAGCAGATTACTGCTACATGTATGTTATGCATGGAGCCAGGCAATTTGCCTCTGTGAAAGACCACGAAGACCATTCCAGTGGGCTGTTAGTGTTGATAAAGAAAAACCTTTTCATTCAGCTCCATGTAAGCCCAGGTTTCAGTCTGCCATACAAAGACTGGGAGGAGGAAGTATCCAAGCAAAAGTAGCCAGCTGAATGAAGCTGAGCTTCACGACTTTTGGCCAGTTTCTGCCTTTATCCCATCCATTTTCCAGCATCTCACCACATACAAACTTCCCCAGAGTGGAGTCTGCATGGGGTTAACAGATTGTTGCAGACAGCAGAACTTTTTCCTGCTGCTGAAAGAGCAGAAGAAAAGGAGGAAAGAAATGGTCTGAGCAGAAGGATTAGAGTCTGGGAGCATCTCCTTCACCCAAGTTATTGAGGAGACACACAGGGGTCAAAGAAAAATAAGGGGCCAGCAGACATAGGGGGAGCACACATTAAATTGTTGGGGGAGGGAGCCAGTCCAGCTTGTAGGGCTTTTCTAGCTGGTGGAAAAATGGGTCTCTCTGCCTCTTGTCATAAGTGTAACCACTGTGCCTTGCTTTGCTCCTCATGGGACATTACTCTCAGAGGAAAAGTCTAGAAAATAAGACCAAATCCCTCCCCATCCTTTGAGCAAGATATCATGACTAGTTAAATCCAGCTAGCCCTGCCCCCATGCAGGTATGCTGAGTGTGCAGAGATGCACACAGATGGTGGGGTTGGCTGAGGCCACCAGAACCTGGTTTCCTACAAACCCTGCCAATGGCAGACGCTGTGCAGGCAGGTGACAGCAGCAAAGGGGACAGGAGTGAACTGGAAGAAACAATGAAACCTCAGAAAAACAACAGAGAGAAAATGGCACATTTTCTCACCAGGCTACTTCTGAGAAAGCAGGGTCTACCTCCTTTTGCTACAGAAGCCACATGAGAAAGATCAGGACTATTTAGGTCCCAGCTTTCAATCACTTAGCTGGCAGCTAGGAGCTGGTGTTGATCATGGAGAGACTGGAAACAAGCATCTGCATGGACATCCTAGTAATCTCTGCAGCCTCATACAGTGTTCTCTACCACTGACCCCCAAACTTGTCATTTAACCTGAAAGACACTTCTTTTCTTCTGGGCCATTAACAGCTGCCATCAGACCGAGCAGCTTGTCCAGCATTTTCAAAGGAGTTCCAGCTGCACTAACTACACGTTCCCACCAAAAACAACCACTGAATATTGGTGCCAGTCTCACAACAATAAACATTTTAACTTCATTATAACTTAACATTTCTGAACTGAGTGAAACCTGGGTGCTGATATAGCTAGTCTGTGCACACTTGTGTCTAAATTCTGCATAAATTTTAACATACAATAGTCCCTGGAATTTAAAATAAAATAAAAACCACTTAAATCACTGGGAGGAACATAAGAAAGCCTTGATACTGAGAAAAAATAACATTTAATAGGAAAAGTTAATTGGCATATATAAAACCAAAACACAAAATACAACACAACTAAATGATTCTTTAAATGATTGTAATCTATAAATATATGTACATATGTGTGCATATGAGTATTTTATATAAATATAATATTAATGCCAGTCAACAGATAATGCACACTCAGTAAAATACAGTAAAATATAAATTCTTTTACAGACAGATTTATTAACAGTATGTAAGAAATTTTTAAAAAACCCAAACACCAAGCTTATTATCATTCAAGCATAAAGGCTGCAGAAGAAAGAAAAATGCTAATACTTTCCACAGGAGCTAAAAATGTAAAATCAATGCAGTTTTGCAAGAGAAAGAAGAATAATCTTTGTTTGGAGATATTGTATCTCGCCACTGTATTGGGAAAGAGGGCAGTGGAAACGGTCAGACAAGTGCCATTGTCTCACACAACCCATGTCAGCAGAGATCTGAACAGAATGCTTTCAGATGGGAAATAGTGGGGGATTGAGAAGAGTGAAAAAACCTGTATCTAATATAGTAAAGTGAAACAGGTCAGATTCTTGTGAAAAACAGTTTTCATCTGCCCAAAGCTGTAGTTCAAATTAAGTGAGCACAAATCCAAGTGAAGCTCTGGGTACTGATGTTTTTCAGAATCACACATATTGCCTGGACCATCTTCCAGAAGAACTGAAAACCAGCAGGGTTAAAATCCTGGTACCTTGTGAACACTCACTCTCTTGCCAATGTACTGGCCTCATTGAAGAAGTCTATTTGGAGCACATTCATTCTTTTAAAAGAAGTCCTCTTCTCCTCCCAACTCTCTAACATTTCCCCCTTATTTCAAAGTTGTCCATGATCTCTTTCAAGCAGGAATCTTCTTGAAAATCTTGAGAATCTGGGGTTAAGGACATTGTTGCCTCTTCTGCTGAAGTAACTGCATTGGTGAGAGGCTGTGAAACTCTTTGCTCTGACCCAGTGTTGTGGTGGTCGTCCATCCTTCTATTGCTCTGGTCACTCAATATCTGCTCTGAGTCCTAAAGCCCCTGGGCTCCCTTGATATTTCGTACTACAGAGAATTTTTAGACAAGAAAAGAACAGAAATAAGGAGTCACAAAGATCATCAAGTCTAACATTTGCATGAATAGCCCACACAGGTTTTGATCCCACAACCTTGGTGTTATTAACCCAAATGGAGCTAATCTCAAGCCTCTACTTCCTCTGTGGCTCCCTTGCAGAATTCAAGGATAAAACAGGGGTTTGTTTTTTGTTGGTTTTTTTTTTTTTTTTTTTGGAAGATGCCTTCCACATAATGACACACCTCTGCTGAGCAAGCTCCCCTGGGCCACAGCAGTGCAAAGCCTGTTCTATATTACTCAGGGCACTTCACACCTTTCCCCTCTGCAATGCTGCAGCAGCTGCAGATGCTCTTGCTGTGAACAATGCAGCAGCAGCCAGGTGGGAGGACACAACCCCCTGGGCATCAGTCCCAGCTTAAACTGACTGTGAATCTTGCATGAGGCTGCAGCTGGGAGGTGCCACTGCAGCACCTGTTGACTCTACAGCAGCCTAAAGGAAGCTCAGGTGTGTGATGCTTGCAGGCACACCAGTGCTGAGGGATAGGTTTGGCTGGTGCAGACAAATATCCTATGACACAGCAGACTACTGGGAAGCCAAGCTCTTGCTTTGACCCTAGCTTTTCACATATCCCTCCTGTGGCTCAAGGATGACTACTGGAGCTTTAGTCTTCATGAATGCTGATCTCTGCACTGAGGAAAATTTCTGTATTACGAGAATTTTTTTTCAGCTGCAGCTACAGTTGTTTGGGTGCCTTTATACCACTTTGGCCTTCTAGACCAAGGGAGGATGTACAGAGGGGAGCTTAGGTCCCAGTAATGTCTGTAGCTCACAGTGCTATTGTTCAGGAATTCCATTCCCACAGGACTATGTGAAACACTTACCAAATCATCATAATCCCTCTCTGGAAAGTGATCTCTATTTGTGGAACGCATCTCATAGGGGTTGTTTGGCTGATATCCTGGGTTTGCATGGCCAGAAGTGGTCTGGACCCTGGGGAACATGCTTGGTCTGTCATCAGAGGTATTCATGTCAGAATACCCTGACTTCATCAGGCTCCTCTTCTCTGGCTTTTGTTTGTGCTTTGCTCTTCAGAGGAGATGAAAGAACAAAGGAGATTTTAAAATACTGTTTAGTGTGCCTTACTTATTAAGTCCAACTTAGTGATTTGTCCACTCCCACCTTGTTTTGAGCACTCAGCCCCATTCTGAAGCATGCAACAGATTTTTATAGCATGGAGTTTTTTTAGCTAGTGCAAAATCCTTATTCTGAACACACAGCAAAACAGTTTCTATTCAACTGTAAGGAATACTCTTACCTGACTGAAATAACAGAGATTGCTATCACTAAACTCAGGATAATGGCTCCAAACACTGTGCCCACTATTATAAGGATGAGTTCACTATCTGGGGGGAAAAACAGTAAAAAATAAATGTGTGAATTAATAACTCACAGTGAATATTGAAAAAGAGGGCAGGGCAGGGCAGGGCAGGGCAGGGCAGGGCAGGGCAGGGCAGGGCAGGGCAGGGCAGGGCAGGGCAGGGAAGGGAAGGGAAGGGAAGGGAAGGGAAGGGAAGGGAAGGGAAGGGAAGGGAAGGGAAGGGAAGGGAAGGGAAGGGAAGGGAAGGGAAGGGAAGGGAAGGGAAGGGAAGGGAAGGGAAGGGAAGGGAAGGGAAGGGAAGGGAAGGGAAGGGAAGGGAAGGGAAGGGAAGGGAAGGGAAGGGAAGGGAAGGGAAGGGAAGGGAAGGGGAGGGGATTTATTTCCAGGCTCCTGGTGCTTACAACATTTTGTGGACACAGAAAGATGTAAATTAAGGATCTGCATTAAAGACCGTCTCTGATGGATGGCTATTTTGACTTTAGCTCTAAGTCCTAATGCTATGCACAGAATGGTTTTACACATAGTTATAGGCGAGGGACAGGAACAACTGGGAGAATATAGGTATTGTTTAAGCTAGTATTGATGCTAAATTATGTAGTTAGGGGTCAAATAGGCTCTTCCCATGCCCTAGGTACATAAGACAACAGAGAAATTTCACTTTTCCCCCCCTAACATAGTCCTTCTATAAATGTAGAATGGTGGCACCCCTAAAGGGTGTTTCCACTTTTTTGTTATCTCAGTCAGATTAGGCATTACTAGGTATTTTTCAAGACCATAATTAAAAATCAGAAATTCTTTTACTTACTATTAGTGCATTCCTCCCCAGAGAATCCCACTGAACAACTACAGGAGAGAAAAAAGGGGAAAGAAAGTAAGAAAATATGATCTTAAGGGTCCCTTTTAACCCAAACCATTCTATGAACACAAAATAATAGTACATTTCCCCCTTTTGTCAGCAATTTCTCCACAAAGTGTGTTCATTACAGGTTTCCTTTTTAACCCTATATTACTGCTAAATTATTTTCTTTCATTAAAGTAAAACAATCTGAGATTTTTAGAGTGATTTGTGATCTCGGCACTTGGAAGTTTCAGGTTTGCAGTCTGAAAAATGTTAAAAGGACCTAATTTTTCTAAAGAACTAAACTCTGCACCTCTGAGCCACTTAGAATTGCCATGCAATGTCTTTAACAAAAGTCTCAGTATAAGGCCTGTAAGGACTGGTAACTATCTTCCTCTCATAATAGTTTCTTATATTTAAAAGATATCGACTTTATGGTAAGAAGTGTTCAATTTACAGCAGTAATAACTACAAAAAGAGCTGAATTAATGAATATGGGGAGTGAGTCTGTCTGTTTATCCACCAGAGCAGAGCACAACCAGTCTCTCACTTGGCCTCACCAGCAAACACCCTTGCTCTGTTCTGATCCTGAACCAGCAGAAATAATTTCAGAGAGAAAACCAAGCAGGAATAACATAGGTCTGCAAGTTATCGGGAAACAGTCCCCACTGATGCCAGTGCAAACATCCCAGGGACTGGAGGCATGTCTTGCTCTAATGCCTGTTGCTTACTAAACACTTCAGCACAGCAGCTCCCACGGCCCAGCCAGGCTGTCAGAGCAGTTTGTGTTTATGTGGTGGAGTACTTTATCCTCTTCACTGACTCATAGGTGACCTTGGGTCTCCTTGCCTTTTCTCCGAGGTGTTATGAGTGCACACAAAAGACCAATGCCAAGGAGTGAAAACACCAAACTTGTGACACCACAACCTGTGACACCCCCTGATATCCCCCTTGGGTACCTCTCTGCACCTCACGTAGCTGCAGCCTGTTCTGGTTGCAGCTGGCCCTGTGAGATGTTCTTCTCTCCTACCTTCGCCTGCAACATAGGAACACAATAAAATCTGAGTACTCACGCCACACATTGTTCAGCCTCTGTTTTAAAGTTAATCCTACATCTGCATACTGGACCATCTTCTTCTTGTATGCAGTACTTGTGCTTTGCTGCAGAACAGCTTTTACTGCAAACTGTGTTTTCAAGGAGAAAAACATGAGTGAATTGCATATAGAAGATTATTTTATTGCTCTAGAAACACACACCCACCCTTCTCCTGTGCTTTAAAGCATCAGAATGGCTTTTTTAAGGATTGTATCTATGTAAAGCAAAAGCTGAAATATAAAATCACAAAATTAGAAGTAAACAGGCTGTGTTCAAAACCATCCAACTTCATCAAAAAGGAAATCTGGCTAGGCTGCATCTTCCGTAGGCAAGCAATGGCCTGAAGTTTGATCTCACAGCAGATTATTTGTATGGCAAACTTTATCAGTTTTAGTCAGGCATGGGACCACAAAGGCCTATACTGGATCACATATCAGCGGATTTATTGTAGCCAGCTTTCATAACTTTATCATGGATTTTTTAATCATTTTTTGTTTTTCTTAAAATCTTACATGTTAGACTTTTTTTACTTCTGTAGTGTGAAAGTTTTAGTTTCCATAAGAAGAAAATAAGGTATTTCTAAGAAAATTAGGTACATCACATGGCTTTGGAGGGTATCTAACATACAAACAGAGCACTCACTAAAATACTCAAAACAAGAAAGTAAACAAAGCCCTAACAACTAACAGTTCCCAAAAGTGACAGAAATAATTCTTCTCATAAGTCTGTCTAAATCCAGGTAAAGCAAACCTAGAACAAAGGACAGAGCTTTAAGAGGCTATTGTAGTTCATCATGAGACTTTCAGTCCTGTCAGCTTCCTTCAAGTAACATGTAGAATTTTTTCCCAAAGTATGTCCTAGCAGAGAAGGCTGTGAGTATAGGATTCAATTTGTTCCATCCTTTACCTGTTTAGGTTTCTGTTTCTACCAGTACTCTAGAAATGCATCTAAGGACTTGCCTACTTACTGGTTTCAGTGATGATTTTATCAAGTTTTAATAATTTATTCTACTGGAATAAAAGTATAGATTTGTTCAAAGTGAAATGTGAGGATGTGTTTCTATGGCTTTCTTAACAGGATGCACATTCCCTGATTTTTAGAGGTCAGCACATTTGCCCAGCATCTTTCTCAAAAAGGGACCGAGACAGAGAACAAGCAGATCAGTCTTTCAGGGATAGATAAAGCAGCAAGGTTCTTACCTGAACAAGAATACACATCTCCTTCTTTCTTTTCCAAATCAGATTTGCATTCGCACTCTGGAAGTTGTTCCACTTCCACACACACTGTGGTTTTAGGATCACATGGATAAATATCACAATGGTTTTCCACTTTAAAAGAGAAACAGGGAGCAAACTTGAATACCCTTTCATAGAAAGCAATGCACTTGCCCAGCAAATCATAAAGCAATTATTTAGTAATTCTAAATAGAAAAAATTATAAGTCCTCTTCTTGGGACATCAATATTGCAGACTTTTAGACCAGCTCTTTTTTTCCTCCTTGCTCTTTAACAGTTGAGGTCCTGTTTCCATCACATCTTCTGACCTTCTGATTCTCAGCCTCCCACAACTATTTCCAAACCTTTCTGGCTCCAGTCTATGGAAAGCGACATTCTTCCCATAAGTTCAGATTCTGAAAACTAACTTTTTGACTCACCTTAAAAAAAAAAAAAAAAAAAAAAAAAAAAAAAAAAAAAAAAAACCTACAGAGAAAACCCATAACTATTCTAGTTTTTTCCACAACTGAACTGGGAGACCTAGATCCCATACAATTCTAGAGAGATAAACATTTATGGGCATGCAGCTCATTTCATGAGCAGCATTAGTACCCTGCTTGCTCAGTGTGCTGCTCTTTAGATCCATGTCCTTATGATGGGAATGGTTTCAAGTCTTCAGTGCATGGCATGCTGTAGAGGGATGTGACTGCACTGGTGCCTTGGGAACTCTCAGTGATTTTCTATTTCCTTCTCACAGCTGAGGATACCTTCAGACAACAAACTCAGGCTTTAAGCCATGAAATGCACTCTTCATTATTAGCTATGCCTTTTTTAAAAGCTTATTTCAAAATAGGAACTTATATTAAAACAAAAAAGAAAAAATATCCTTATTTTAATTAGGAACTCTTTCTCCCAGTATTACACAATTAATAATGCAAGATGCTACTGGTTTAAATCAACAAATCCCTTAGCTCAGTAGCTAATAAGTGAGGCCTCATTTCAATTACCATGGCTTATTATGTGAGAAGTCTAAAGAGGGTTTCATCCTATTTTGCCAGTAAAATACTGGCTTATTCTCAGAAGCATTATATATATCTGTATATATTTTATCCTGATTTTTCCCACTTCTTAACAATCATCAGGTTAAAACCACCATGCCATTGCTCACCAGGAAAATATATTTTCCTTTTCTTCTTTACACAAGGAGTAGGAAGCCTTAATAAGACATAAGAACTCCCCACTGAATTGTTGAATCTTCAAAATTACCCAAGATTGAACATTCAGCTCCTCAAAGTCAACAAGGCTTATGATTTGATGGGCTCCTATGCCCACAGAAATCTTCCAACCAGGTTTTAAGAACCTCTATTCCTGCTGATTAATTGCTTCCCTAGCAAGGAGTTACATACCTTCATAAGAAGAGACAAAGGCCTGGTTATTTTCGATTGCACGTTGTACTGCAGACCTAACTGTAGCCGCATTTTCACCTGAGTTCTGTGTGAACAGGTTTGTCACTGCTACCTTCAGTGAACCAGAACTTCTGCTTTTACTTGGAGGTCTGAAAAGGACAGATAGGACCATTTTAAAGTTTCACATAATCCATATGGATAGCAAGCTAGATGCAAAGATGAAAGAAAATTTCTGCCAAATCCCCCTCTCTCCCCCAGCTTCTTTCTTTCCATAATGTAGGTAGTTGCCAAGAAACCTGAAAATGAGTGTAAGTTTTGCTCAGGAATACATTAACAGCCATCTTTCCAGTAACTCCAAGTGTATATAGGTAGCTGCTCGATTTAATGATAGCAGCACTGCTCCTTTGTGTGCTGTTGATATACAACTGGCATTTTCTAGCTGGGTTAACCTCAAACCAGCTGCAATGTGGAGAACCTCATGTCTTAGACTCTAACTTTTACATGATTTCATCAGCCTGTGGTGTCATCCAGGCATGATGTGGAGAGCCCACCCTGAAGGGTGGTGAGGATAATTCAGGGTGTGACCACCATGAATGCAGAAGAGTCTGTTTGCCATGTAGGGGAATCTGTGCAAGCTACACACTGTCTGGGCTGGGTTCAGCTCACAGCAACCTCCCTGGTGTGAGGTGGAAAACAGCAGTGACTTCCCTGTTCTTCAGCTAAACCTCAGGCTGCCAGGATATGCACACAAATATCCTTAAGTGGCAGACTGCTGCAGTTCCTTGAGGTGTTACTGTGCCCCACATCACAACTTCTCTGCTGGAAGTTACTGCACCACAACTCTTAGAACATTCTGCTTAGCTGCTTAATCCCTGGGGTGCATTGAAGGGGTTGACCCTGTGTGCTAGCATGCCAGGTTTTTCTGGATAGGGAATGGGAAACACAGAGAAGCTGGCAGAGCTCTGGGGACAGTAACCTGTAACACATGAGGATGCAAAAAAAAGAGACATTTCACAGGGTCCACCTAGACCAACAAGGGACCTATGCCCACAGCTACACCACAGCCCATTCAGTAGCACCTTTGCTCAACCTACCATCAGGACACACCAAAAATGCACAATAAAATACATTTGCTATGCCTTCTGTAATAAGGGTTTTTAAATTAAGCTGGGACTCCAAGCTGGGTAGCACTCCCAACAGTCATAGGAACTCAGAGTTAACTGTTAGAATTTCAGACATGTCAGATATCACAGGGACTGCTAGTCACAGCACAGTGCTGTATCCTCCATGGTGCTCGAAGCAGGACATACAGTGTGGAGCTGCCTCAGCCTGCCCATTTCACAGACATACTGGGGTAAAAATGGGGCCAGCATCCCTCCTTTATGGGGAAGCATTCTGAGCTGAACTCATCCCATACTTTTTATTCAAGTGAGAACTTCATGGGAAACAGATTAAAATGAGGTATGTCGAAGTACATACTGTGCAAAAAATGAACCCGCAAACTTACTGAATTTTCACAATGACAGTTTCTCTATATTCATTTAGATTTTCAAAGGCCTTCTCAAACTATAAAAGAGAAAGAAATTAGAGTTCAAGGCAAGCAGGAACATAGACCAAAATCACATGAACCACTAAGGCTTCAGTGGTAAAGTTTTAATACAGAATATGCTACTATAGGCACAAATAAAGTAAGGTGATGTGTTAAATGCACCAGGCAAGGTATTGCAGAAGAGGAACAGTGGGGTGGTGCTGTAGAATATGTATGGGAGGGCAGTGGAGGGAGGGAGAATGAATGTCAGGCTGAGTTAACTGGCTGATAGTTACAGATATCCCTTTGCAAACTCATTGCTTAGGAGGGTGTCTCTGCAGCACCAATCTGTGTATAAGTAGGGGGAAGAGGGAGAAGTTGACCTCCTCACAGATGGCATGTGTCCCCGAGAGGCAGTGAAGTGGGATCATCAGGGGTCAATCTTGTGGGAAAAAGCACTGATGAAAGCATTTGGGAGCTCAACAGGATCAGAAGAAAAGTCACTGCTCTCCCTCATCCCATGTGGAGTAGGGAACAACCAGTGGAGGCAGCTGCCTTTAATTGTCATAAAAGCAGGAGGTACCACGAGAAGAGAATAAGATGTTTAATTCAACTGAAATGAAAGATGAACTCTCTTTCTTTCTTTGTAAAAAAATGCAAATTATTTTCTATGTTATTTTCACGTTTGCATTCTATTATGTATCTATTTTAGTCCTTCACATGATGCTCTTCTGCAGCCATATCATGAAAAAATGCTGGACAAAAAAATTAAGAAAATATTTTTTAACATTCTGGAGGCCACTTTCTGCGATAACATTCATAGTAAGCAATATAATAATATGCATAAATTGATAATCATTTTTGATCATTCCTGATTAACATAATGAATATTTTTTAATCAGCTATCTGGTACAGTTGCCTATATATTCTTCCTAACTGCCAGAAAGAGAAATAAGCAAATCCACTTGTTTCAACATGGCAGTATTAATTAAACTGATAATCTTATTTCTCCAGGAAATCTATTACCAGATTTTATGTATAATCATAGAATTATAAAAAATGTGCAGTATCCATTGTACTAATAACATTAAAAACTAATACTGGCAGACTTATGGAAGAGGGTCATTATTGGTATTTAGACACAGCTGGACACTCATTTCGAAAAGTTTGTGCTGTGTTGAACCAATAATTTTCTTTTAAAAAGAAAATTAAAGTTGCTCATTTTCACTAGTACCATTGAGTATTATTGAGCCTTCAGCAAACAGCAGAGATCAGAAACTCAATAGGCTGGAAAACTTCACTCAGCCCCATTGTTTCTGGAGAGGGGATGGTGAAATATGCAGAGAATTTATGTGAGAACTCCCCAGAACAGAAGTGGTACTAAAACTACAGGTATTACTTCAGGGATCCCCTTCACTTCAGCAAGGACCATGCATGTGCTCATCTGAGGGGAAAGTTCAAGTCTTTTATAATTAGGTCTAAACTAATGTGAAGCATTCTTTGAAAGAAATAGATCTCTTGTAGAGAGGAACTTTTCTAGGCCCCACACTAAAGAGAGTGTGTGTCCTCTCTGTCTGCATGACATTCAGTATAGCATTAAATATATGGGGGGGGGGGGGGGGGAAACATTGTCACTCACAAATTCTGATACATTGTTGAACAGGTATTGATACTCAGTGGAATTTATATTTTGAAGATTATCACTGTAAGAGGCTCTCACTACAATGGTGGCTGGGTATACTTCCCCTGGAATGAGAACAGAGAGTATAAATTAGAAAGTATTCAAGAAAGTCCAGCTTCACATCAGAGTTCTACAGCCTTTAGGGATGGGGAAATACAATGCAGAAAATAAATCAGTGCTATTTTTCATATACAGGAGGGATCAGTAGAGGACAAATCAATTCAGTCACAATGGGGGATGTACTTTGGCTGCCAGGGAAGAAGGCAGGATCATGGGCCCAACCAATCTGTATTGATTATGAAATTGAGTAATATTAAACTCTTTGCAAGGTGTTACAGAATGTAGTGAGAAAAAAAGGTATATTAAGGACTCCAAATTTGCAGCTATTAAGCAGCTAATGTGGTTCACAGAGAAAGTGTTTCAGAATCAACCTGCTTCTTAAGCCTCACAAGTAAATTTGAGAATCCTACTTGCTGATCCTTAAATTAGAAACCCTATTTTCTCACATACTTGGCCTTCAGAAGCATTTCAGAGATGCATTTCCACAGGACTCTGATGAGTGTTTAGCAATGGGGAAAATCAATCTGGTTGTTCATAAGTTTAGTCCTTTTTAAATCACTGTCATTAATATCAATGTCCAGTTTACACTTGCATCTTTTCCCTGCTTTTCACTCATTTTCATCTCCTGCACCCCTGACAGAGAATTCCCCTTCTTTTCCTAGAACATTGACCTCTTTGGCTGTCACCGTTTTGCGAGATTGCAATCTGGGTCATTGTAGGAGTGGCTGCCTGCAAAGCAAGAAATCACTCAGCAGTCACTTTCCCAGACTGACTGTGTTTTCAATTATAACATGACAACAAGCTATATGGGAAGCAAAATTCACCTGAGCAGGTAACAAAAAGCACTGATGCCCTTCTGCAACTCACCTTTGTGACAATCCTTATTGCTGTAGTAGAATCCATATTGGCACACACAGGTATAATTGCTTTGTAGGGAAATACATGTAGCTAAACTGCTTCCACAAGGATCTCCATGGCAGAAGTCCTCTAATTGTAAAATGAAAGATATTGATATAAGGGTTTCTGCGAATTTCTGCAATTGCCAGTTCACATATAAAGTCATTCCTATATTGAATAGTTCATATATACTTTTACTAAGGGAATCTACCAGTTATGTTTTAGAGAGTATAGATGCAATTGCAGAGCATACATCTATATATCTTGCTTGTTTAATGTAAAGTAACTGTTTTCCCTAAAATCCAGCAGGATATCACAGTGAGGACATGGAGTATGGCTGAAATTCATTTTCTGTCATACTGAGCATTCACAATTCAACTCTGCTTAATACAAGTACAAGCAAATAAAAGAAAGAAGGCATATCAAGGCTTGCCAAAACATGTGACTGTTAGAGAAAGACAGACTGCAATAGCCTGTGTCTTTAATACTGCACTGGTACATGCTTGCTTTATTATGACAGTGTCATAGCACAGTCCTTTACTGCAGACACATGAATAAAATGAGGGCTACAAAGTGAATTATAATAGTGTATTTTCTGAGAGTAATTATATATATTCTGTAAGGTTTTAGAGTATGTATTTTATATCTATACATAATATAGGTGGTTAATAAGTAATTAAAAGTTATATTTCTATGCATCTTATACATAGGATGGTAATTACAGTTCTCTTTCAAGATATCAAATTCTGGTTTTCATTCTGCCTGATTTTTCACACTTCACTCCATAAGTAGGCTCATAGATGAGAAATTTTCTGTGAAATGGGGAAAGAAAAATAGGAATTCTCATTCATACCCCAAAACAAAAAAGTAAAACACTCAATGAATTTTGATTTCCTATAAGGTTAATCTCCAATTTTTTTTTTTCCAGAGAACCTAGTGAAGCCAATTATTTTCCTGATGAAAAAGATCCCAAACAAAAAGCTACAACAATTGTGAACTCCTCCAAACAGATTCCATTTGCAGCAAGGGCCCTCGGGGAGGTACAGCATTAAATGGAAACACTTTGTCTACACTGGAAGGCTCCACTGAGATGGGAAAGAGTGGGGTATGGAGAGCTCCAGGACAGACACATGCATGGTCCCCCATACATGGTTCCAGGCCCCAGCCCCACGCCAGGGGTGTGCCCCAGCTCTCTCCCTGCCTGTGCTCCAACAGTCTTGGGCACAACTCCCTGCAGGGCCAGGTCAGGGGCTGGCCTGGGCACCTCTTTGCAGGGATCCTCTTGTATGCCTGCCTGCTGAAGGAGGCAAAGGCACATGGCAGAGAAAAAGCAGCCTCCTCCAATCTTCGCCAACACATTCTCCTTGCAGCAAAGGCCAGCAGGAAAAGACGGAAGAGTGGAGGATATTCATGGCCACCATCTGGTCAACTTTGGCCCTTCTGGAAGAGAAACTTGGGAAACCTTACTGTCTGAGAGAGCTACAGTGCTCCTGGGATTTAGTTAATGCAAGCTGTCCCTAGAAAATGCTGCCGAGCATTTTTGCTTCTTACCTGGAGGTACTGAGGGTGGTATCTCTGTTGGGCCAGGAGCTGTTCCATTCACAGTACTGATTTCTGAAGAAGGGAAGAGAAGAGTCATGACAGCACTGCCTAGCACTGTCTGTTCAGAAAGCATCAAGCTGGAAGTGGAGGACAACTAGCATGGTCTGCTCCATGGCCCCAGCCATGGCCCCTGGCCTCTCCCTGCTGGGGTGTGCCCCAGATCCCTCCCTGGTCATGCTCCAAAAACCTCAAGAACAACTCCCTGCAGGGCCTGGTCACAGGCTTGCCCTAGGCTTCTCTTTGCATGGATCACCTCGTATCCAGGCCTGATGCAAGAAGCAAAGGCAGAAAGCATGGAAAGAGGAGCCTCCTCACATGTTCCCCAACACATTTGCTTCACAACATAGACCAGCAGGAAGAGTGGAAGTTATTCAAGGTGATGCGCTGGGTTACTTGACTACAATGGGAGAAGAACTCAGAGAAACCCAGGCAGGGGAATTCGTCCCTCCTTGGGTATCTGCAGTGCGCCCTGGAATGGGGGTACTGCAGGCTGTCCCAAGAAGGGGAAGTCTGAAAGCTTTTCTCCTTACCTGTAAGTTCTGAGGTAGTCACCTCGGGTGTGTCAGTAGCTGTTGCATTATCAGTACTGTTTTCTGAGAAAGGGAAGAGAAAAGACATGACATCATTGCTCAGCATTGTCTGTTCAAAAAGCCTTGAGACAATTCTGTGTGTGTAGGACAAGTGATGGGCATGGAAGAACCATGGATCCTTGGGGGACTGAGCAGTCAAAGCCCTGAGCACCCTTGCCCAGCATCTTCACTCTCCCTGGCTGAGAAGCCTGTGTCACCTCATGTGCCCATGACCCCTTGTCCCCCAAGGGGTCCTTGCTTGAACACAAGGACCTGACACACACTGCAGTGTCCCCTGCTCTATGGCCACAGCTGTGTCAGCCAAAGCTGTCACTTCCAGTGGCAACCAGCCTCAGTCACAGGTCCCTGCAGGATCTGGTCACAGGATTCCCCTGGGCATCTCTACAGGGATCCCTTTCTGTCCAGACCTGATGCAGGAGGCAAAGGTGCCAAGCACATAAAACAGCAGCCTTCTCAACTCTTCCCCAGTGCTTCCTCCTTGCAGCAAAGAGCAGCAGGGAAAGAGGGACTTGTGGAGGGTGTTCACGGCCTTGATCTGGGCACATTTGTCTCCCCTGGGAGAGGAATTCAGGGAAAACCTCTGTGGGGCTGCAGAGCTCACTGGGCCTGTTCCCAGAAGGGGCTGCCTGAGGGCTTTGCTCCTTACCTGCAGGTGTTGAGCTCGGCGCCGCTGATGTTTCAGCAGGGGCTTCTGATGGAAGGAAAAGAAGAGAGATGGCAGCACTAAGGAACTCTTTACACACAGGACAACTGTTGAACAAACAAGTCTGGGAGGACCTGTGTGTGAGGCTGAGCAGCCAAACCTCTGGGCAGCCTTACCCTGTCTTTTGTCTGCCCAGGCTTCGTGTGCCTTTGGTGTTGTTTCTCTCATAGTCTTTTTCTCTCACACCCTGCTCTGGACTCCTCCTTACCAGGAGCAGCTTTGTACCCTCCCTGCCTTTCTCCTCCAGGGGACTAATGCTGAGTTGTAGGCTCCCTGCAGCAGCACTGGCTCCCAGAGCAGGCTCTGAGGCATCCCATCCACAAGCACACAGCCTCTGCACTCAGCACTGCTGCAGCATCCTTTAAAACTCCATCTATATCCTTCCAGAGCAGTGGAAAAATGACTGCCTTTGCTAGCACACTCCTGTGCTGTAACAGATTCCTGTGGACAGTGACTGCAGGAATTAGCTATTTCTATCCAAGGAATGCTTCTTCTGCTACATCCTCATCAGCAGTATCCAGACCCACCAGGCTGTGCCCAGCCTGCACCTCTGCCCTCCCTCAGAGTGGCCTTTGGCACAGGTTCCTGTGGGTGGAAGGCAGAGGCACAAAGTCTTTCCCGATGCTGGGCCAACTCCATGGGGAGCTGGGGTGCTGGTAGGTGGGAGGTGCTCGTGCAAGCCCACCATGGAGGAGGATCTGAGGGACTGAGTCAGCTGCCCGTCCTCAGGGTGATCCCAGCAGAAGCTTTGACTCTTCTGGTTTTTGGCTCCCCAGCATCAAGCTGGGAGTGTGGGACAACAGGCACAGTCTGCTCCGTGGTCCCCAGCCGTGGTCCCTGGCCTCTCGCTACTGGGGTGTGCCCCAGATCCCTCCCTGCCCATGCTCCAAAAACCTCAGGAACAACTCCCTGCAGGGCCTTTGGCACCTCTTTGCATGGAATATCTTGTACCAAGCAACCCCTGCACACTGGCACAGGAGGCAAAGGCAGAAAGCATGGAAAGAGCAGCCTCTTCACATGTTCCACTACACATTTGCTTTACAACAAAGACCAGCAGGGAAAGATGGGAGAGTGGAAGTTATTCAAGGTGATGGGCTGGGTAACTTTGCCTTCAATGACAGAAGAACTCAGAGAAACCCAGGCAGGGGAATTTGTCCCTCCTTGGGTATCTGCAGTGCGCCCTGGATTGGGGGTACTGCAGGCTGTCCCAAGAAGGGGAAGTCTGAAAGCTTTTCTCCTTACCTGTAGTTTCTGAGGTAGTCACCTCTGTTGGTTCAGGACCAGTTTCATTTACAGAATCATTTTCTGAAGAAGGGTAGAAAAGAGACATGGCATCACTGCCTGGCATTGTCTGTTCAAAAAGCCATGGGGCAATTCTGTGTGTGTAGGGTGAGTGCCGAGCAAAGAAGTGCTGTGGATTCTTGTGGGGCTGAGCAGCCAAAGCCCTGAGCACCCTTGCCCATCCACTTGGCTCTCCCTAGCTGAGAAGCCTGTGTCACCTCATGTGCCCAGTGGCAGGACTTGAGCATGTCTCAGAGAAGCAGAGGCAGGTCCCCAGCCCAGCTGAGCTCCCTGGATGCAGCGTTCCCAGCCACAGGCACACATGTGTCTCTATGCAGCAATGATCCCTTTGCCTGCCCAAGGAAGCACAGAGCAGCCAGAGCAACTCAGGGGATGCCATCAGACTGTGCCCAGCCTGCACCTCTGCCCTCCCTCAGAGTGGCCTTTGGCACAGGTTCCTGTGGGTGGAAAGCAGAAGCACAAAGTCTTTCCCGATGCTGGGCCAACTCCATGGAGAGCTGGGGTGCTGGCAGGAGGGATGTGCTCGTGCAAGCCCACCATGGAGGAAGAGCTGAGGGTCTGAGTAGGCTGCCTGTCCTCAGGGGGATCCCAGCAGGAGCTTTGTCCCTTCTGGTTTTTGGCTCCCCAGCATCAAGCTAGCATGGTCTACTCTGTGATCCCAGGCATGGGTCCTGGCCTCTCCCTGCTGGGGTGTGCCCCAGATCCCTCCCTGGCCAAGCTCGAAAAGCCTCAGGAACAACTCCCTGCAGGGCCTGGTCACAGGCTTGCCCTAGGCTTCTCTTTGCATGGATCACCTCGTATCCAGGCCTGGTAGAAGAGGCAAAGGCAGCAAGCATGGAAAGAGCAGCCTCCTCACATGTTCCCCAACACATTTGCTTCACAACATAGACCAGCAGGGAAAGATGGAAGAGTGGAAGTTATTCAAGGAGATGCGCTGGGTAACTTTGTCACCAACATGTGTAGAACTCAGAGAAACCCAGGCAGAGGAACTCCTCCCTGATCAGGTATCTGCAGTGCTCCCTGGAGCACGGGTACTGCAGGCTGTCCCCAGATGGCGAAGCCTGAAAGCTTTTCTGCTTACCAGCAAGGCCATCTCTGGTGTCTTTAGAGGTTGTCATGTGTCGTGGGTCAGGATTTGTTCTATTCTCAGTACCGTTTTCTGAGGAAAAGAAGAAAAGAGACATGGCAGCACTACCTGGCATTGTTTAAAAAGCTTTGGGAGTTCTGTGGGACTTCTGGGGAAGGGCCACAGATCCTTGTTGGGCTGAGCAGTCAAAGCCCTGAGCACCCTTGCCCAGCATCTTCACTCTCCCTGGCTGAGAAGCCTGTGTCACCTCATGTGCCCATGACCCCTTGTCCCCCAAGGGGTCCTTGCTTGAACACAAGGACCTGACACACACTGCAGTGTCCCCTGCTCTATGGCCACAGCTGTGTCAGCCAAAGCTGTCACTTCCAGTGGCAACCAGCCTCAGTCACAGGTCCCTGCAGGATCTGGTCACAGGATTCCCCTGGGCATCTCTACAGGGATCCCTTTCTGTCCAGACCTGATGCAGGAGGCAAAGGTGCCAAGCACATAAAACAGCAGCCTTCTCAACTCTTCCCCAGTGCTTCCTCCTTGCAGCAAAGAGCAGCAGGGAAAGAGGGACTTGTGGAGGGTGTTCACGGCCTTGATCTGGGCACATTTGTCTCCCCTGGGAGAGGAATTCAGGGAAAACCTCTGTGGGGCTGCAGAGCTCACTGGGCCTGTTCCCAGAAGGGGCTGCCTGAGGGCTTTGCTCCTTACCTGCAGGTGTTGAGCTCGGCGCCGCTGGTGTTTCAGCAGGGGCTTCTGATGGAAGGAAAAGAAGAGAGATGGCAGCACTAAGGAACTCTTTACACACAGGACAACTGTTGAACAAACAAGTCTGGGAGGACCTGTGTGTGAGGCTGAGCAGCCAAACCTCTGGGCAGCCTTACCCTGTCTTTTGTCTGCCCAGGCCTCGTGTGCCTTTGGTGTTGTTTCTCTCATAGTCTTTTTCTCTCACACCCTGCTCTGGACTCCTCCTTACCAGGAGCAGCTTTGTACCCTCCCTGCCTTTCTCCTCCAGGGGACTAATGCTGAGTTGTAGGCTCCCTGCAGCAGCACTGGCTCCCAGAGCAGGCTCTGAGGCATCCCATCCACAAGCACACAGCCTCTGCACTCAGCACTGCTGCAGCATCCTTTAAAACTCCATCTATATCCTTCCAGAGCAGTGGAAAAATGACTGCCTTTGCTAGCACACTCCTGTGCTGTAACAGATTCCTGTGGACAGTGACTGCAGGAATTAGCTATTTCTATCCAAGGAATGCTTCTTCTGCTACATCCTCATCAGCAGTATCCAGACCCACCAGGCTGTGCCCAGCCTGCACCTCTGCCCTCCCTCAGAGTGGCCTTTGGCACAGGTTCCTGTGGGTGGAAGGCAGAGGCACAAAGTCTTTCCCGATGCTGGGCCAACTCCATGGGGAGCTGGGGTGCTGGTAGGTGGGAGGTGCTCGTGCAAGCCCACCATGGAGGAGGATCTGAGGGACTGAGTCAGCTGCCCGTCCTCAGGGTGATCCCAGCAGAAGCTTTGACTCTTCTGGTTTTTGGCTCCCCAGCATCAAGCTGGGAGTGTGGGACAACAGGCACAGTCTGCTCCGTGGTCCCCAGCCGTGGTCCCTGGCCTCTCGCTACTGGGGTGTGCCCCAGATCCCTCCCTGCCCATGCTCCAAAAACCTCAGGAACAACTCCCTGCAGGGCCTTTGGCACCTCTTTGCATGGAATATCTTGTACCAAGCAACCCCTGCACACTGGCACAGGAGGCAAAGGCAGCAAGCATGGAAAGAGGAGCCTCCTCACATGTTCCCCAACACATTTGCTTCACAACATAGACCAGCAGGAAAAGATGGAAGAGTGGAAGTTATTCAAGGTGATGGGCTGGGTAACTTTGCCTTCAATGACAGAAGAACTCAGAGAAACCCAGGCAGGGGAATTCGTCCCTCCTTGGGTATCTGCAGTGCGCCCTGGAATGGGGGTACTGCAGGCTGTCCCAAGAAGGGGAAGTCTGAAAGCTTTTCTCCTTACCTGTAAGTTCTGAGGTAGTCACCTCGGGTGTGTCAGTAGCTGTTGCATTATCAGTACTGTTTTCTGAGAAAGGGAAGAGAAAAGACATGACATCATTGCTCAGCATTGTCTGTTCAAAAAGCCTTGAGACAATTCTGTGTGTGTAGGACAAGTGATGGGCATGGAAGAACCATGGATCCTTGGGGGACTGAGCAGTCAAAGCCCTGAGCACCCTTGCCCAGCATCTTCACTCTCCCTGGCTGAGAAGCCTGTGTCACCTCATGTGCCCATGACCCCTTGTCCCCCAAGGGGTCCTTGCTTGAACACAAGGACCTGACACACACTGCAGTGTCCCCTGCTCTATGGCCACAGCTGTGTCAGCCAAAGCTGTCACTTCCAGTGGCAACCAGCCTCAGTCACAGGTCCCTGCAGGATCTGGTCACAGGATTCCCCTGGGCATCTCTACAGGGATCCCTTTCTGTCCAGACCTGATGCAGGAGGCAAAGGTGCCAAGCACATAAAACAGCAGCCTTCTCAACTCTTCCCCAGTGCTTCCTCCTTGCAGCAAAGAGCAGCAGGGAAAGAGGGACTTGTGGAGGGTGTTCACGGCCTTGATCTGGGCACATTTGTCTCCCCTGGGAGAGGAATTCAGGGAAAACCTCTGTGGGGCTGCAGAGCTCACTGGGCCTGTTCCCAGAAGGGGCTGCCTGAGGGCTTTGCTCCTTACCTGCAGGTGTTGAGCTCGGCGCCGCTGATGTTTCAGCAGGGGCTTCTGATGGAAGGAAAAGAAGAGAGATGGCAGCACTAAGGAACTCTTTACACACAGGACAACTGTTGAACAAACAAGTCTGGGAGGACCTGTGTGTGAGGCTGAGCAGCCAAACCTCTGGGCAGCCTTACCCTGTCTTTTGTCTGCCCCAGGCCTCGTTCTCTGCTCTAAGAGACTCCTGTGGACTTTGACAGCAGCCTATATCTATTCCAGGAATGCTTCTTCTGCTACACCATCATCTGGAGTATCTAGACTTTCATTCCCTGGACTGCACCTCTATGCCTTTCTGACAGTATACATTATTTTATTCTCTTTCTATTCCCTCTCTGTCATCATTATTTCTGAATAAAGGGAACCGTGCATGATACCAGCCAATTGGTGAAAATTCTGCCTCAGTTTTTGTTTCAGCCTTAGTTATTGCTTTAGTTTTTCCCAAATATTCTAGATATTTATTTTTATGTTGTTGGGTTTTGCTTTATTTAACCTGTGTCATTCTCAACTCTTGATATAAAGAATGAGTTCAGGTTTGAGGGGTTTGTATGTTTTGTTTCTCGTAGATGGAGGAGGAACAAATAATAAACCAGCCTTGCTGATAAACATTTGATACTGACAAATGGCCAGTTTGTAACATATAATCTAACTTTAATCTGAATTAGTTAATTATTCTTATTAACTATTATTAATTAATCATTAATTCACAAGTTAAGAATAAACTTATTTACCCTGCATGAATGCTGCTGGAAGCATAAATTTATCTAAAGCATTAAAAGCATGCAGCTGAAAGACTAACATATTTGTGGCTAAAATCCATACTACTATCACAGTCTGCACATCTCAGCACACATTTGAAAAATAGGCCCCACTTTTTAGAGCTTTATAGGGCTTTGAAAATCCCAACTGAGGAAAATCTTCTATCCTTTTTTTCTGATTGACAGTGTATCTCACATAGAAAAGAGACATGCAAAAGACAATAATCCATTAGCCTCCTCTAGGTGAAGGGGAACATGAGCAATTGTGGCAGTTCCCTGCCAGTCTGTTGCCTCCACTGGTCATTAAGTTCTATAACAGCATTATTTGTTCCCCAGTTCCTATAAATGGATATTTTTCCTATAACTGGGATAATATGAAGCTCTGCTGGACATGGATGTTGGGACAGCAACCTGTTACAGAGCTAGCTTTTTTTACAACTGCTAAAGCTGGGAGGTTCTGGCCAACCATCATCCAGGAGTACCCTTTGGACTCAGGAAGAACAACATCCATGGTGCCAGCAGAGTGCATGAGCTGCAATTGAACCTTGTGGATGGGCTTGACAAAGGTAAGCTGAGCAAAGGTGGCTAATTTATGGCTCTGTGTGCCTAGATCTAACTTTCTATTTATGGAAACAGGATGTGTTAATGGGCTTGGGCATGACCACTGTGATAAAAAAATGGATGTTACCACCAAGGATATACAATAGCAGAGACATCTGGCTGCTGAGCAGGGCAGGGCCTTTGCCAGTACTATTCAAATGGACACATCCTGCAAAGCTTTTACAATGTTTGCTTAGAATGAAAAAGATTTCTCAGCAGATCTATCCTGATGTGAAGTCTGATCAAGTGAAAAACAGTTATTGCTTTCAGTAAGTCTTGGCACAAAAATTTTCCCATCTTGCTATTACCTACAAGCCTCCAACCAGGAAACCAACCAACAGACGATCTTGAAGACTCCTATGTTTATGATTTACAGCTGAAATTTGGTCTATAGCACACTGTGGATGTTGGAAATACATCTGTTAATTCACAGCAGTCAACAGAGACCCACAACTGTCTGCCACCAATTGCAAGATTAACAGGTCTTAATTCAGCTGATAACACTGCAATTTTATATTTGCATTAGCTAGGAGATCCTGTCCTCTCACAGCTTCAAGTTGCTACAAAACTCTTCATAGATATGCTTTACTTCTGCTAATGTCTTCACCCCCTCATACCTCTCAGTGAGTATCAGGAAAAGGCAAGTTTAGCTGTAGACTCCAGCTCACAGCTACCAATTCTGCCACAATGCCAGAAAATCTACTAAGTGGCTTACGGAATGACACCTTTAGTTTGAACAGACTGTGGTACAGCCCTCTTGAAAGCGAGTACTGATGTTTCCATTAATTTATTTCAACAGGAAAGAACAAAAGCTCTGTTAGCCAGCTCAGGGGGAGCTGCTTTTCAGGCTGGTTGGTTAAGGAGCCTCTGGCCAAAAGGGTACTGGAATGGAACAGTTGCACCTTTTGTTATGACTGCAACAGAGCTTGAATTACCTGGGTTTAGTGTGAAAGTCCTGAAAATTGCTCTTGGAATTGCTGAATTATTTTAATCATAAGCACCAGTGATTTTCCATTGTTCTGCGAACAAGGAAAGCCGTTGGCTTACAGTGACATCTTTCATCATTAATTAATCAAAATCTAGACATGCTGAATTGTCTATCAAAATTGGCTTCTCAACAGCTGCTGAAAGTACTAGAAAATCCATTCACTGCCACACAATAGCTGCCTTGATAAATCACAAAACAGAAAGATAGTGGTTCTTACCTTTCAAAAGGCTCAACACCAGACTGAGCCACAGAGCGAAGAACACAGAGCGTCTCATTGCCACTTGTGTTGCTGCTGCCACTTGCTGCTAAGCCTAAGAGAAAGTGCCTTTCTCTTCTGGCATCAGCTCATTTAAGGTCCCAGCCACAGGTAGAGAGCTCAGCCCTGAGCTGACGTCATGGTGGCAAGTGGTAAACGATAAATTCAAGCGGTGTTTTTCTTCCTCCTCAGGCTGGGAGGAGATTTCTGGACCTGCAGCGTTCTTCCTTTAAGTCATAAATACTTGAGATCTGTTAAAACAAGGAAGTTACTGCTAAATAAGCTGACATGGGAACTGACAGTGCACAAGCTACCCCTTGCCAGTTTCCCATACCAACACCTTTCATGCAAATTAAATGAAGAGTGCAGTATAATCTGTTCTTAAAGTGGAAGAGGTGACCCTATCCCAAGGCATGCTAATTATGCACTTAGAAAAGAGTACCTGGGATCCACATGCTCACTTCTCTTCCAATAAATTACCAGTACAGACAAGCTTCATTCCTCAAACTCCAATTATTTTTTCTTACAAACAAAATCTTATGCTAAAGCACTTCTTACTGATTAACAGGTTAAAAAGAAAGAGAAAACATCTGGATCATTGACCTCAAAGAAACAGGACTGACATTGGCCCTTCTGGCAGTGATCATGGCTGTTTTGTTTGCTGCTCTCTTACGTGTTGCAGACTCACTAAAGTGGTGGGTGAAGAGAAGGCGGAGCAGGCAGGACAGCCAGCAGGTGTTTTTGTCTTTATCTGAGTGGCAGCCTCCCTTTCTTGAGAGTAAATGTACTCCTGCCAGGGAGACATTTGTAACCAGGGAATGTCAGGCTGGAGCACAAAGCCTGCAGCAGATCTAGAGATGACAAAAAGCCCAGAAAGCCCTTAAGCAGGTAACACTGCTGTGATGTGTGGAAAATAGGTGGGAGACTGAGACTTTTTAACATTGTATTCCAGGAAGCTTCTGAAATGGCCAGTGACAGACCAAGAAAAAAGGTCTCTGTGGGCAGGGGCTGGTTATCCCAAAGTCTCCTACTTCTAGCTGCCTCCCCTGCCCAAGTTCTCCAGTGCTTGTTCTGCTTTGTGCTCCAGTAAAATGCACTGCTTGAGATCAGCTGGGCCAGATCAGTGATTTCCAGTTCCTCCTTTTCAGGCAAAGGTGTAATTTCTCTCATTTTGAAAGTCTGAGTGGCTCTGTATCCTGCCACAACTGCCAATAAAGTCTTTCTCTGAAATAAACACGGATTATCCCATCATTACCAGACAAAAGAAGGAAGAACAACCCATATCCCCTGCAATGCCACTTCTAATGGCTATCTATGGTCCTGGTCTCCTCTGGCAGACCCCAAGGCCAGCAACACAGGCAGGTTATGAACACACTACTGAATGCCACGTAACAGCTCAGTGTGGTAAATGCCTCTCCCTTCATCTGCTTTTGTTTGATCTTCTGTTTTAGGAACAAGAAAAGCAGTCTTGGTTAATCTCCTATATTGAGAGGGTGTATCTCCTTGAATGAAGGAGGGTGAGAGAGACCAAAAGTATTATTCAAAGTCATTCCTGAGCTTAGGGTTGTCTTAAACTTTAAACTTGCACTGAACCAGGAAACACTGCTGGCTTACAGACAGCAAAAATGGTTGTGTGCCTCTCTGGCACAAGAAATAAGTGGCCTTGTCCTGTCTATTGGACATGAAATGAGTATAAAGAAGCTTGGTAAGTTCAAAGGAGAAAAAGAGAAAATTTTATTTGAACATCTGGTATTTATAGAATTCTAAAGGTGACTGTGGATTGGAGGATGGAATTACCACCTCTCCAACCACACTGGTCTAAAAATTAATCAATCATTTTTCTCCACCCACAGAGAAATATGTAAACTATTCTATTTATACATGACATTGTGTGGGAACTTCGACTCTTAAATATGTAAATATTATCAGAAGGCTAAAGAAGTTTTATGAGAACTTTTGCACTTTCAAAAGAACTATATATAAAAAAAAAACCCCACTTTTAAAAATCAGAGTAACATTGTCCCTCTGTGAATCTGCTCAGGATGTTGAGCCTGAAATGTGGGGGTTTTGCCTGTGCCTTCCTTTGTATCTCTGTCCCTGCAGTCTCTCCAGTGCGACCTGCTCCCCACACCTACCCCTAGTCCCCACAGTGACCCCCTGGCAGCCCCCTCTCCCTCTGTCTGCTCCTTCAGGCCATGCTGGATTCAGCTCCTGCCCTGCTGCTTCTCCCTCCTGTGCCCATTACCCATCACAGATCGCTCAATTCCTCCAGGCCCTCCTTAAAACTGCTTTGCCAGGAAGCTGACAGAATAAGAGAAGGAAATGCCTGGGAAATGTTTGGCTCCAATTCTCTCTGCCTACCTGCTTGGCCAGTGTCCTGCCTCCACCTCAGGCCACCACGACCCTCCTAGCTTCAGGGGACATTGAAAAATTAATCCCAAAGTCTTTTTAGAATAACATATTTCAGTGCTGTGAGCCCCAGACCCCAGCAGGTGCTTCAGGTGGGAAGGGGTGTGCAGAGGAGGACAAACCTGGCTGTTGGAGAGTGGAACAGCTGTATGTCACCCATCCTCTGGCAATGTCCATCTCCCAGACTTACACTCTTCAGTCTTCATGATACACTCCAATTTTCCAATGCTGCCTCAAGGTGCAGCTAGATTAATCCAGGTCTTAAAATCTCCCTGTTGGCTGTGAAGCAAGTGCATGGGACCAAAAGAACTTCTTACGGCACTATTGAAAATGAGGGCCAGGTCTCCAGCAGGTGTAAATGGTGCAGCTTTTCTGCCTACACTAGAGACTAATGGTTGAGTGTGCAGTCCTGCACGTCAGAACTGCTCTCTACAGTGAATGCACATCAGGAGATGGTGTGTTACCTATATTTTTAAACTTTACTTCCATTCCTACCTGGTTGTTTATGTTAACTATGATCACAGTTTTGGCAGTGTGAGTCATTTGCCATGCAAAAGGCCCCAGTTCCTCCAGGAAATAATGCTCTCAGCAGATATACATCTTCACAGACCAGACATTTTCATCTCTGCTTGCCTTCCCTGTCCATTTTGTGACACACCAGTGGTAACAACAGGCTCTCTCCAGGAAGGAAAGTGACAGGCTCTATCTACCCCATTGCTTGGTGATTTGTGGGGGAATTATTTATAGAGATACAGTGGCTTAGGACAACAGACACAGAGAATTAACGAAATAGGAGAACTGATACCGGTGAAATAGCAGCTCTGCTGCACTTACTAATTAAGTCATTAAGCACACATTTAGGCAATAAAAAGTTGACTGTTAGTCTAGACAGACTCACACAGCCACAGGAATTGTGATGTCCTGCAAGGAACTACAGAGAAAACTTCCTGTGCAGAAACAAGTCAATAACTTTCCAGAGGCTGTAAAATCAAACTGTTGTGTGTCAAAACTCAGATATTACAATCAAGAACACTGAATAATTATTATGGAATAAAAAATATGCTATGTTTACTAACAGTAGCTGCTGTATTGTCAATACTTTTTTATGGCAGGAAAGAGAAATACCAAAAGTAAAGGGCCTTATCTATCTATTAAAAGTGCATGTAATCAAGAGGCAATCATGCTGTCAAAAGACAAAGTAGGAAAAATTGTCTTTTACAGCTGTTTATGTGCATCAGCTCAGTACTTTTTCCTGCACATTTTCCAATCCTTTTCCTTACTAGATTCCTATATATTTTGTTATTTCATGTAAATTTGGTTCCTCCTCTATATATGACATATATAAGTAGAAATACATGTTTTAATTACCTAAAAGTTAAAAAAAAAATAAAAAAGCTTCACAAGTCCAAATCAAAGATTTAGCTATGGACACAGATTCACATATAATCAGGGGAAGCAGATGCTCTTTAACTTCTTCTCAGGTGGTTCCCAAGAGTTTGAGGGCACACACTATGGAGCATTCAGTGGTCTCAGAGGCACTGACATGCAAATCTGAAGCGGGCAATGCTGTTAAATCATGTGCTTGTCCATAACCCCAAAGATCTTTTACTTAGTCCCACAGAAATGTTTGTGACCCATGGTTTTACACTGCCAATTTCCTAAAAGATACCAGCATCACACAGAAAGTAGGGTAACATGAGACAGTCATGGTAAGTAGTCTCTTACAACGGGGTGAGCTGCTCTCTGTGGATGTGTGTCTCTTTTCATGGCTACTGGGAGAGCCAGATCATGTGTTCAAACTGGCCACCTAACTTTTCATAGAACAGATAAATCCCACCTTAGTCCCATCTGACTGCTGTCACAGCTGTACTGGTCTGGAGCAACACAGGAAAAAATTGCCCCAAATGAACCTACCTGCCATTACTCCAGATGCTCTTCCAAATCATGCCTCTTCTCAGCGGCCTGAGTTGGACTTGGTGTTCCATTGGATTCAAGGTGCCCTCCTTTTCTTTTGAGGGACACCCAGCTGGGCATTCTTCACTGTCCCTGGTGGATTTTACTGGGACAGGACTGATCTCATGGTGGTCAGATCCAGTCCTTTGCCCTTGCAAACAGCCCTGCTGCACCCCTCTCCTGAGGTTTTCCTCCCCTCCATGCACTCACACACGTAAACACACAACTTTACCAGTTCTAGCAAAAATTAAACTGAGGAAAAATTAAAATTAAACTGAGTTACTTGGTGCCACCAACATGAATGTATCAGAACACAACTTGTATTTCAGCTGAGCAGAATTTTGTTTGGCACAACTAACAGAACGTACCCATTTCCTCTTTGCTTTTCAATTTAGGTTTTCAATCAGGAAGCACCATCAGAAGAACAAAACCTATTTCTTTTCTATGCAATTTCTGATTTTCTGGATTATATGTATAACAATAATTAAAAACACCTAAAAATTGCATGTTTCCCTTTACAGGCAAAGCTAAAGACAATAAAGAAGCAGGGACATAGTAATACTCATTATTTTATTGTATCCTTTTATGATACTGACTAGAACGCCAGATTTAATAATATTGGATGCATGTATAAAAATAATCCAATCCTTAAAAATTATATTTTGCTACTACAGTACTGTATAATTAGTGGAGACTGAAAATATGATACAACTTTGAATAATACTGGTTTGGAAAACATCCTCAGAACCCCAGAGACTTGGAAGCAAACATTCAGAGACAGAGGAAAGGGAGTGGAGCAATGTCAAGAACATAAAGCAGGTTTACATTCAGGTTGTAAAGAAGAACAAATAGATGCTGAAAATTTGTCTTTTGAAAGAGAGGTCACAAAAGGTGAACTTTACTGCTGCTATTCTAAAAGCTGCTTAAATAAATCATTATGATTTTACACACCAAGATTCACCTTCCACTAGGAGAAAGTCCTGTAGAATTTAATGTGTTTAGAGCAAATTACTGAGTTTAACAGAATTTCCTTTAAAAATGAAGGT